AAAAAAAAAAAAAAAAAAAAAGGAAGTAGGTCACCTTCTCTGCAGCCTGCAGAACATCAAGGCCAGAGGAAAAGCGGAACACTGTCTTGCAACCCTAGTGGTTGGTAAATCTGTGGGCATCTGTGTTTAACGGCACCACGCCAGGCCTTGGCTCAGCTGCCAGTGCTCCTCTCAGGGCCCCTGCGCGGCCCTCGGACTGAGGGACATTTTGCTGGCCCTTGGCCTCCCGTGCCTTATATGGAGATACCTCTTGCCAGGTGCCCACTCCTACAATCCGCAGGGGGCTGGGGCCAGGCCAGGTGCTGGGTTGTAGGCCCCGGGGGCAAAGGTGACAAAGGTTTCAGTGCTGGGGAACCTGGGCTAGCGGCAGGACAGAAAGGGTATGAGTAAATGCAATGACGCGTATTCCAGATACCATGAAATAGCTCATAAGTTCAATGAGTTCAGCGAATAAATATTTTTGTGGCATCCCAAAGATGGGCTGTTGGACAGCCCATTGAAAACTTGAGTTTTCAATGAATCTTTAATAACTGCGAAAATTCTCACTATATAACATAAAAGAAAAAGCAAATTATATGCTAACTTGGAAGAGCTAGAGAACATATGCCTTTTCTAAACATATTTTAAACCTGTTAAACATACTGCAGACAAGTCAGAGAGCGTCGGCAAACCTAACCCGTAGTTACCTCTGCTTTCTCTAGATTCCTTTGCGTTTAGGATCAACTGCATATAGTTTAGTGCTGAATTGCTCCCTACGTTACTTTTGTAGCCCCAAGATTACTCCTATATAGCCCGCCCTTTCAAATGTTGCCGTTTCCAAGGCCAAACTCAGAGTTTCTCATGTCAGCTCACGAGTGCGTGTTCTGGGCTGTCACATGGTGCTGAGCCTGCAAATCAATAGCTCCCTTTCAGCAACAGCATCCCTGTCTGAACAGCAAGCTTGTGCAACTGTTTGGACATTTATTACATTCTGCTCACTTGGTAAAAAGTGAGTAGAAGGCCAGGAAAAGAATACTGTTAACACCAGTGATAGGAAACACACATGCCTCAGAAACTTATTCCATGCAGACTGGTGTGGCCACTGTGGAAAACAGTACGGAGGGTCCTCACAAAATTAAAAGCGTAACTGCCTTATGACCCAGAGGGTCCACTTGTGAAAATATATCCGGAGAAACCCAAGACACTAATTCAGAAGAATATCTGCACCCGTGTTCACTGCTGCACTATTTACAATAGCCAAGATCTGGAAGCGACCCAAGTGCCCATCAATAGACGAGTGGATCAAAAAGTTGTGGTACATATGTACAATGGAATATTACTCAGCCATGAAAAAGAATGAAATCTTACCATTTGTGACAGCATGGGTGAACCTAGAGGGTATTATGCTAAGTGAAATAAGACAGTCATGGGAAGACAAATATTACATGATTTCACTTATATGTGGAATCTAAAGAGCAAAACAAACAAATAAACAAAGTAGAAATAGACTCATAGATACCGAGAACAGGCTGATGGTTTGCCAGAGGGGAGGGGGTTGGAGGACTGGGTGAAAAAGGTGAAGGCATTAAAAAGTACAAATTGGTAGTCCCAAAATAGTCATAGGGATGTAAAGTACAGCATAGGGAATATAGTCAATAATATTATAATAACTGTGTGTGGTGCCAGGTGGGTACCGGAAATATTGGGGGGAATATGTTGTAAAGTATATGATTGTCCAATCACGATTCTGTACATCTGAAACTAATACAAAATAACACTGAACGTAAACTGTAATTGAAAAAATAAAAACAACTTATTCCAATTGCAAGTGAGGCGGGGCTGGATCAGAGCCTCGCAGTAGAGGGGTAGGGGAAGCAGGAACTGGGAGCTGAAGGGACGGAACACTGGGTGCGGCTGCCCAGCCAGCCTGTGTGTGTGGGGAGCAACTGTGCTCGCAAAGCCCATTGACCTTCTGCTCTGTTGCTGGGAGGTTCCCCAGTCCTTTCACTAAGTCCTCTTGTATCTATGCGAGTTTGGCTGGGTTTCAGTTCTCCGCCCCAAGATGCCTTACCTAGAACAACGCCTGACACTGGGCGCAGTACCTGTGAATCCTAGTCCTTGGCAAATGCTGCTCTTTGCATATTTATCATCACAGGGGAAGGAGTGTGAGGCTCAGGCCTGAACATCTCAGAGCCGAGGCCTGGCCTCAGCTGGAGGCACCCTCTCAGCTCCAGTCTCCATCCATGCAGGGGAGGGATGGAACCAGGGAAAAACTATTCTGATGAGCCTTGCTTTGCATCCTTCAGCCCTTGGGGACACCGGGTCTGATCAGAACCCTCTGGTTCCTAAGCTGTGAGTCCCTAAGGGGTTCGTGTAAATCTCCTTCTCAAGGAAGTAAGCGCTGACAGCCGGGTCTGAACTGCCACTAGCTTCCCAGATGGCAACCTCCCTCTTCCATTTCGTCGCACCTGAGGTCAAGCTCTCCACCATAGAAGGGCTTGTCTATTCCAGAAAGGAATGTCCCCGGGGTGCCTGCCTGAACCCCATAGTGTGGCCAAACTGACCCTCCTCTCCGCGGTCATCCTCCCCAGGCCAAGCCCATCCATCTCACTTGCCTACCAACCTGGCCTCAAGCTGAACACTGACAGCTCATTGCAAAGTCACCGAGAAGTCACCAGGGGCAGCCGAGGGGCAGTGGAGAGGCTGTGCCGGGAGTCAGAAAGCCATGGGCGCTCATCCCAATTTGCTCATTTCCTACCCGGGCACCCTGACACGTTCCTGAGCTGTGCTAACACTTGATTTTCTATCTTTAAAATGGGGACACCAGGATTACACAAGACAGTGCTAAGTGTGTTGCAAGGAGTGTCATTCATGCCACTTTAGACCTCAGGGGGGGATATCATTTGTACTGTGTGAATCACAAAATTGTCACCTCTTCCACATTCAAACTTCTAGGAGGGTAAGAGCCTTACAACTAAAATACCTGGGGGTGAAATTCAGTGTTTATTCCCCAAGTCAACTGGAAACTGGTCCTAAAGTTTATGAAGTGGGTAAATCAGACCTAGGAGAGCCCGGGTAAAGAGTTAAGAGGCAGCATGGGGGAGGGGAGGGTGCTGCAGCTAAACTGCCTGGCTCAGGTCTCAGCTCTGCCACTGACTGTGTGATGCTGGACAGGTTACTCAAGCTCCCGTGCCTCAGTTTCCTCTGCCATAAAGGGGGGCTACAATAATAGAACCTACTTTCTAGGGTTGTTTGAAGATTCGAGGAGTAGATGCAGGTGAAGAAGTTATAAACCCAGTCAGTGCTCGCTAGATGTTGACACCCCAGGGCCCGGAGGACTCCTCCTTCCTCATTTTGACCATGAACTTCTTTGTGGCTGCCCAGAGAACCTCATGAACTGCTGCCCAGAGGCCACTCTGGGTGGTGGACGGCACCTGGCCTGGGAAACAGCGAGCGTCTTCTCTGACCTCGGGTGCACCCCTAACTTCTTCTATGACCTGGCCTTGGCCTCTGGGTCATTGCTGCCTCCATTGGACCAGCACTGGTGACCAGGGCGCTACTCTGCTCCAGGCATTGTGCTCAGCTGCGTGCAGTGCCGAGTCCCCTGCGTGGTTTAGTCTTGATAAAGACCTAGTGAGTAACTGCTTTGTTCATAAACTTGACCAGGCCTCTGCCCAGCATATGGAGCCTGCAGAGCAGGCTGGCCCGGCTTCCCAAGGGCCAGCATGGTGAGGTGCTAGCTAGTCAGAGCACTCAGCAAAGTCTGACACATGGAAAGGGCCCAGGAGACGTGCGATCTCACTACCATGTGGAAGGGCTAAGATCAGGAATGCTCTTGTCTTTCCTCCTTTCTTTTCCTCTCCCTCATCAGAAGGGTAAGGAGCAGAGTAGGGTGTGCACCATTGAGAAGGCCCTTGGAGGTTGGTTCAGCCTCTCTCAGAGCCAAGCCCTGACAACAGGTGACCCTGACCAGCCCCAGCTCCCTCAGAGCTCCTGGGCGACTGTTAAAAGGCCCCATTTTGAAGGCTGGGAGAACCTCCCTGCTACAGGGGCATAGCAGCCTGGGGCAGGGGGGTGGGTGGTCCCATGGGAGCTGGGACTGAGGATCCAGCTTGGTCTCAGCCTGAGGGGCCACCCCTCTGCGCAGTGGTCAGCAGGGGCAGTCCTAGGGCCCTGTTTCCTCAAGCCCCACCACTTCCCCTGCCCCTCAGGGTGGACTTACCCAGGCCCAGGTTGGAGATGGTCTTGAGGTCTGTGAAGCTGCTGGCCTCGAGGATGGCCTGCGGCAGCCTCAGCGTGAAGGGCAGTAAATCTCTGTGGAGACACGAGGTGTTGGAGGTCATGTCGGGGGAGGGATCTGTGTGTCCATTTCCCGGCCCCCACAGCCCATAAAGGAAGAATAGCTGCAACCCTGCTGGCTGCTGAGGTCTCAGTGCAGACTGGAGGCTGCCTTGGGGTAGAGGGGCATAGCCCGAGGCTGAGGCAGCATCCGGTCAGATCCAGGTCCCAGGCCAGCTCTATGGCCCAGAGACGTGGGAGACCCTCCGCGGGAGTGGGGCGGGGCCACAGCGCTCCCCTGGAAGCCCAGGAAGCTTCCAATAAAGGCCCCATTCCGGGTAAAGCTCGTGACCCACCCCTTCCTGCCCTCTGACCCTGGCAGCTCCACACTGAGATGTGCAGCAAGCACACAATCAGACATTTCCCAGTGAGTGCAGTCAGAGTCCCCAATGAGCGCACAGTCAGACATCCCTGACAATGCACAGTCAGACAGCTCAATCTGCTGCTTTTGGTCTGAACGAAGAAGTGTTCAGGGATCTCTCCAGAGATCTCCCAGCAGGGACTCAGATACCCTTCCCCTTTATTGTGCAGGTAGGGAAACTGAGGCCCAGAGAGGGAAAGGAATATGTCCAGGCCACACGACAGGTTGATGGCAGAGTGTGCTGAGTCCCAGGCCTCCTCACTTCCAGCCCAGGGCTGTTTCAAGGGGCCAGGAAGGGGAGAGTGGCACTGAAAGGAGCCCGAGGACGGACAGTCCCAATTCTATGCCTCGTCCTAGCATTCGAGGCCCATCACAGTCTGACCCTGACTTCCTGTTTTCAGTCATATCCACCGCTCTATCCGTCTTCTCCCCAAACCTCAATTCCAACCCCACGGGCAGGCATTAATACCCTTGCATTAATTACTTAATTTGGGATCAGAATCCCGTAGGGGAGCTGCTAAAAATGCACATTCCAGATCCACGTGCAGGGGTGCCCAGTGTCAGGTCTGGGGGTGGGCCAGGAATCCACATTTTTTAATAGCTCTCAAGGGGATCCTGACGGACACAGCCTTGGGTGGGAATCACAGCCCCCAAAGCAAGGGCGATCAATAAAAATAAAAATTAAGTAGCTGTCCAGATATATATGTATGCATATATTCCCTTATAAAGTATTAAGTCCATTAAAAAGTATTCACAAAAAGAAAATTCCAAAATGAGATTTTTAGAACAAGTGTTCTAACATTCCCACACACACACTGGTGGGTCAGCTTGCACACCTCCCAGGATACAAACGCCCCTCCCTGGAAGCCTTTGTTCTAGGTGGTGCTTTTCAGACTTTTTGGACCATGACTGTTGGTAAGAAAGACATCTAGCATCACGATGCAGCGCACACACACACACACACACACACACACACACACACACCCCTAAAACAAGTTTAGCATGAATCTTAGTCCAGCTACATGAGACACATGCTGGTATTTTCTAGTCTAGTTGAATTTTTCATGAAAAAAGCCAGTCATGATCCACACAACTGATTTGATGACCCCCCTGAGTGTTTTCTGCCATCACCAACCAATCCACTGGAAACCAACGGGGTGTTCCCCAAGGTCACTCACTACCTGCACCTGGAGATAGTACAGACCCCACAGGTTAAGGACTCTGTTCCACCACATTGCCCCCACCTTGGGTACCCATTGCAAATCCCAGGCCACCTGTATTTCTGACTGGCTATAGGCCCTGTCCTCAGGTTGGACAATTTTCTACAACAGCTCTCAGAACTTGGGGAAACACTTGACTTACATTTATTGGTTTATTATAAAGGCCCAATGGAAGAGGTGCACAGGCAAGGTATGGGGATAGGGGCAGGGAGCGTCCATGCCTGTGCAGATGAGACACCCTCCCAGCACGTGGGTGCTCATCTGGGAGGCTGGTGGGCGGGTCTGAAAGTTCCAGCCCTCTAGTCACCTGGTGATCAGTGCCATCTTGAGGTTATCTAGGGCCCCACCTGTGTCACCTCTTAGAATAAACTCAGGTGTGATTGAAAGGGGCTCATCATGAATAATGAAAGACACCCCATTACTCAAGGCTTTAGAGGCTCTGTGTCAGGAACCCGGACAAACACCACATATTTTTGTTATATACCACACTCCTAATGGGTTGTAACCCGTAGACTGAAAAACACCACAGACCATGGATATTACCTCATTAAGTCTTTGGCACGGGATACCTTTCTCCTCTCACTGAGGGGCTAGGCACCTCCCTAGGCTCTGGGAAATTTGGGGGTGGTTTGGGGACCACTTCTAAGATGTGAGACAGGGCCCAGGAGAACAATATCTGAACCCCCTCAATGCGCATGGCACCCTAGGCTCCATCTCCTCACAGATCCTGGTGACTTTTGTGGTTTTGAAAGTCAATCACTGTAGATGAAAGAGCATAAATTTTTTTGTTTTGTGTGTTTTGTTTTTTGTTGTTTTTTTTAAGTGAGAAAGAGGGGGAAAGACAGAAAAAACCAGTCTTGAACTTCAGAATCCATAGACCCAGCTAAAACCCTAGCTCTGCATTCCTGGCATGGTGTCATGTCCATGTCCTGGCAGGACAGTGGGGACACAGTGCCCTCTTATGGGTTGTTTTGGGAAGTAAATGAGCTGGGGTATAGGAGCCATGCAGCACCGACCTGTACCTAGAGGCAGCGTGCCAAGGGTACCTCTCAGGGCCTCTGAGCAGTGGGTGAGGCTCCTTCCCTCTGCCCTGCTCGCCAGGACCATCCGAGGGCAAGACGGAGGTTCCTGGCTGAGGTGGCAGGGGAGGCAGCTCCAGACGGTGATAACAGCTCTTTCTTCCAAGGCAAAGAGGCCCAGCCCGCCACCCCCTCCTGCCAGGAGGAAGGTGGCAGCTTAGTCACAACACTTGGTGCCTGGACACCTCCTAGAGAGGGCAGGCCCATGGGGCCCCTTCCTTCCTACCTCATTTCGGTTCACTGCACCCCCTTCACGAGGCTACCGACTCCTGACCCCAGCACGAGCTGAGGACCAGACCTCATGGACCCTGTAAGGGGCTCAGCAGAGACCTGCAGTGTAGCAGGTGCTCCAGACACGATCACATGTGTTCACCCTCCTGTTGCCCAGGATGGAGCCCCAGCATCTCCCTCCCAGGCAGCTCCTGCTTCCCCCCCTCCTCCAGTGCCTGCCCCACTGCTCTGGTTCCCTATTCTCTGCCTGGGGCAGAGGCCTTCCTCCACACGGCTGGTCCCCACCCTCCCCTTGCCTCAGCCCCACCCCCCGCAGCCCTGTCACTCTGCCGTCTGTGAGCAGCAGGTGGCTCAGGGCACCCACGGAAGGAAGTGCCTATAGCTCTGCGCAGGGCGTTCAAGGCCCTCCAAGCATCTTATCTCCCACCCAAGTGTCCGGTTCTCCCCGTGAAACCCTCCCTGAGCTGCCCATAGCTTTCCCACTGCGAGCCGCTGCCCACGCCATTTCGTCTGCCTGGAATTCTCCTCCCGTCCTCCTTTGCCTGACCTCCAGTGTCACCTCTCCCACCAAGAGGGCCTGGGCTCCCCCGTATTTGGGAGGGCAAGCTTCAGGGGAGCAGCTCACACGTCATTCTCTGGCCTCGGGCCTGTGCCTGCGCTGGGCAGAAGCAGCGGCTTCAGGAGTAGACAGGCTCTAGTTCAGATCGGGCTCCACCTTGGGCCGTGTGGCCCGAGGCAGGTCACACCTCAGTTTTCTCATCCGCAGCAGCACCAGGAAGGCGCCTGGTTGTGTCTGCAGCACTCGCTTCGTGCCAGGGGCTCTCCTAGGCCCTTTACAAGGGTCCTTGTGTCCGACGCTGCGCACTCCGGGGGAGGGGTCACCCTCCCATAAGTGGCTCTGAGATGAGCGTAGCTCCTGGCAGGACAGCTGCAGGGTTAGAAGGACTAGCTCTTCGAAGGAGGGAGAAGTGGGCCTGGAGTCCAGGACCCCGAGACATCCTGTCCAGCTTCTAGCCAGTTTTTGTCAGGACACTGTAGCTTAAGCCATCAGCTTCTGACACCAACATGTATTTTTAAATTCCTGTTGACCTGCAACCAGCTCTGAATAAATAGAGCAGCTCTGAGGGTGGTTAGCAGACACCCACTCCACCCAACAGCTGCTCCGCAATCAAAGGCTCTCTCCCGTGGAGGGCACCAGCCCTTCCTGCTGCCCCGACAGGAAGTTCCTCCTATAACCCCCAACGGGGTGCGCCAGGCCCCCACAGGACTCCAAGCTGGCCTGGAGGCCAGGCCCGGCAAGCGAAGGTGATGGGCAGGTGAGGTGGGTCCTTACTGGCAGGTCCAAGAAAGCAGCGGAACCATCGCCACCTCCCCGGTTACCAGGGCAAAGCCAGGGACTGTCCCCTCTCTGCATCCTGTGGGCTGCACCCTTCTCTCTGGGGGCTTCCCTGGGACTCCCCACCCCCACCAACGTTGTGTGGACATCTGTTGCAACCAGACGCCCTCCCGTGGGGCCAGGTCTACTCACCTACTGACACAGTAGAATGCGATCAGTCTGAAGATGTCCTCAAACACAAGAACCGAGCCTTCCAGGTACAATACTGAGGAGAGAGGACAAAGGCCTGGATGAGTGTCCCTGTCAGAGGGAAGGAGGGTCCCCAAGGGCGGGGCCGTGTCTGCTGAGTTCACTGCCACAGTGTCTGGCCTGCTGCAGCCACATACACATCAGCTGCCAACTGGGCCACAGGGAGTGAGAAGTGAACGTCTATGGCAGAGATTTTCAATCTTTTTAATCTCAGGGCACACACAAACTAATTATGAAAATCCTGTGGCACACCAAAAAAAAAAAAAAAAAGTTTATTTTTTGTCAGTCTGACAAATAAAAGGTATAATATTGATTCATTCACACCGGATGGCTACTGTTGTGTTTTTATCTGACAATCTAGGGGAAAAGAGGTCAGTGTCCAACTAAACAGTCAGGTAATCGCATGTTTTAAAGATTCTTGCAGCTCACTGGTTGAAAATCACTGTTCTAGGGTGTGAATCCACTGACATTTGGGGTGGTGATTTATAGCAGCTGCTGTTATCTTAACTAATATGCGTCATCCTGGGCAAAATAACACAGAATCCTCTGGAGTGTAAAAGCAGAATGAAACATTTAATTGACCAGGGTCATCTCAACTTGACAATTCTGAACACTGAGGGGACAGCAGGAAGGAAGTTGCCCTGTTCTGTCTTGGTCTCCGGGGGGTTCATCAGCTCAGGCTGCTGAACCGGGGCCACTGGCCTTCCACCCAAGGGGGCCTACCAGGACCTCACTTGATTTGTCTGTGTGGTAACCCAAGGGTGAGGTTGACCCTGGTGTTTTCCAGCTCTGACAGGAAGAGGGGTAAAGCATCTGCTCAAGATCCCTTCCCGGGTGAGCATGGCTCTTTGGAGGGGCAGGGTGCCAGGATGTGGCATCAGTGCCCGAAGCTGGGGGTGCAGTGACCAGGACACAATACCATGCCCTGCGTTGTACCCTCAGGGCAAGGGGCCCAGGGAACCTGAGCGAGTTGCTGACCAGTGGTCTCAGCACCATCCATCCCCCTGACTTCTTACTCTCACCTCAGGATTTCATTTGTCTAGCAGGGATGCTCCCTGTACTGGGACCACCCCCCACAGTGCACTTTTTCAGGCATCAGAAGAGCTGAGAAACGTGGGCATCACCCTTCAGTTCCTATCTCCCGAGGGTCTCCTAGCACCCCAAGACCCGGCCCCAGGGCTGGTTCTCACTCTGGGATCAACGATGTGACTCTGGGTCACATCAAAGGGAAGGAGCCCTTCCAACCCTGAACTCTCGTGCATCCAGGCGACATCAGCCAACCGGCCTGTTTTCAAAGCCTAGGACAGCATGCCACTGTATGGGTGGTCTGAGACGGGTGTAGGGGACACATGAATCAACAGGCATTGGTCTAATAGCTTTTGTAAAATATTCGTCTACCTTCCATAGACTAGACACTGTTCTAAACAGTTCACATGATTTTTTTTAAAAAGTTGACATTCATCTATTTATGGCAAAGAGATCATGGTTTCCCATTAGGAGAGATATAAAAAATGTAAAAGGGAGTTTAAAGAAAAATATTACGTCGATCATAGTATGGGAGGCACTCTAACCGAAGTCTCAGAAAACAGCCCGTGGAATCAGCACCCTCCGTGAATTAATAGTGGTGGGGGGCCCAGAGCGCCACCTAGTGCTGACATTTGGCACATCACCAACTCTCCCCTCAGCACTGGCCAAGGGAGCCTGGTGCCAAAAGACCTGCAGTCGCAAGAGGTAGAGACGATTCCACCTGTAACCTGGGAACGTGAAGCCCTCCCGCAGGAGTCCCTCAGGGGGTTAGTGGTGACGCGCGCAGAAAGTCAGCTCCTATACAGGACGCGACCAACAACTGGCAGCCTTCCTTTCCACCGAGACGCGGTCTGACCCTTGCACAACACAGACCAGACCTTTCAGATGAAGTCAGTCACTCCCTCCCCTGTGCCCTCCGGCACTTTAGATAAAGCCCATACTTCTTTCAGACTTAGTTTACCCGACGTCTGTGTGCTGGTCGGGTCCTCGAGCGCAGGGACAGGGCTCATTCATTTTTGTAAAGGAGGGCGGACAGGCAGCCTGTTCTAGACGTAGTGGCCAGTCACCTTTCTACTGTTAAAACTGTAGAATTTTAAAATCACAAGCAAGGGTGAAGGCTCCTGTTTCTTTCTTTAGACCTCTTCTGCCCCAGCCCCAGCCAGCTGCCCACATCTGCCCCGTGCCAGGGGTGGGAACTGCTTCCCTTCAAGCCAAGGCCACGGGGAGCTCCTGCGCCAGGGCTGGGCCCCAATGGGAGTCTCCCTCAGCAGCCAGCAGAGCCACTGACTGCATCGTACACTTTAAATGGATGAATTTATAATGTAGGATGCATGATATGAACACGTCTCAATAAAGCCATTATTTAAAAAAGTGCCCGCAGAGTGGACAGTTTCACTGCCTGCATTAAGTTTTCCTGGGATTTTTATAATAAGCACCTGTGAGTTCTGTAAGCAGAGAAACTGTAAAGATTCTCTACACTTTTCTCTAATTTTCTAAGGTTCTCTGTAAACGTTTCTCTAAACTGGTTTCCAGGGCCCTCTCAGCTCACAGCCCTGCAGGGCACAGCTGACAAGTCCCCACGCCACCCACCCATGTCGCCCCTTAACACTCCCCACCTCCAAGCCAGCTTCAGAGTGAGCCTTGGGAATGTCCAGCGCCCACTCTGCCCTTGGCAGCAGTTCTCGGCAGGGACCTGGCCAGCTGGCTCCTCCCAATAAAGATGCCAGTGCTGGGGGGTCACCTTTGACAAACACTAACAGTGACCCCTCCACTGTGTAGTCTCCAGGGTCCCTCAGCAGAAACCTTGGTGGGAACACACCAGCCCCTCTCTAACCATTTCTCTTTCAAAGGGTGAGGCGAGAGAACGGGTGCCAGCCAGCAGCATGTGTCACATCCCAAGATGACAATAGGTGACAGCAGAACTCTGCCTCCACCTGGAGAAAAGGAAACCTTTCACCTGTGACTCACCCTCAAGGCTGAGTGGGAACAGGGCAGAGATGCCAGGTCCACAGGTGCCGGAATGGTTTCTAGCATTTACAACCCCAATGTCAAAATGCAATATCTGCAAAGAACTGAAAGCTAGCAGATTATTTTAAAAAGGAAATTCCATTTTATCATTCAATAGTCCAAATGAACTGCCAAGGACAGAGGCTGTGTATCTTTTGTTCTTCATGGTTACCCAGCACCAGGCATGGTGCTTAGCGTGTTGCTGGCTCTCAAATGTTTATTTAATTATTTGTTTACAAAACGTTTTATTTGAAAATACTGATAGATTCACAGGAAGTTGGGGAGATGTACGGGGAGGTCCTGGGCACCCTTCACACAATTTTACATGGGCTCATGTGCATGTGTGTGTTTGTACCATACTAAGAATTGTATCCCATGTGTAGTTGCCTATAATCACCACCACAATCAAGATATCTCACTGTACCATTACCACAGGGCTCTCTGAGCTTCCTTCGTAGCCACAAGCCATCCTTTCCCCTCACCGCTAAGCCCTGGCAACCACTAATCTGTTCTCCATCTCTATGACTATGTTATTTCACAGATGTCTGATAAATGGAATCACACAGCATCTAGCCCTGAGACTGGCTTTTTTCACTCAGCATAATTTCCTCAATGGTCATCCAGGTTGCTGACTGAACTGATCGCCTGTCCCTTTTTAGTGCCGAGTAGTAGTCCATGGTTTGGATGTAGCACAGTTAGCCTGACTATTCACCCACTGAAGGACATCTGGGGATTTTCCAGCTTAGAGTTATTATGCATAAAGCTACCATAAACATTTGCGTACAAGTTTCTGCATGAAAATATGCTTTCCTTTCTCTGAGACCTATGTCTAGGAATGCTATTTCTGGGTCATATGGTAAGCCCATCAAAGGAACTGCCAGACTACTTTCCAGAGTGGCCACACCATTCTACTGTCCCACCAGCAGTGTAGGTGGGGGAAAGGATGGCTTGTGGCTACAAAGGAAGCCCAGAGTCTCCCCATGTTTGCCCATTTGATGGTTTTTTATTGTAGTCATTCCAGCAGATGTAGAGTGACCTCTCATTAAGGTTTTCATTTGCATTTCTCTAATTTGGATTTTGGAAAGATGTTGAACATCTTTTCATGTGGTTATTTGTTATCTGTAAATCTATCCTCTTTGGTGAAATGTTTATTTATATCTTTCGCTAATTTTCTAATTGGATTTTTTTTATGTTGAGATGTTTTTTTTTTTTTTAAAAAATCACTTTATTAAGATATTCACATACCATACAACTATCCAATTTAAAGTACATAACCAATGGTCTTACTATATTAACAGGGTGGGTTGTGCAACCATCACCAAAGTTGATTTAAAAAATTTTCATGCCTGGCCAGGCGTGGCTCAGTGGTTGAGCATCGACTTAGGATCTGGGAGATCGTGGTTCGATTCCCAGTCGGGGCACATGCCTGCATTGTGGGCTTGGTCCCCACTTGGGGGCGTGAAGGAGGCAGCTGGTCAATGATTCTCTCTCATCACTGATAGTGCTATCTCCCTCTCTCTTCCTTTCTCTGAAATCAATAAAGATATATTAAAAAAAAAATTATCATCCCAAAAGAAACCCTGGACCCATTAGCAGTCACTTTCCATTCCTCTGTCCTTCTAGCTTATGTCAACCACTAATTTACCTTCTGTTCCTATGTATTTGCCTATTCTGGACACTTCACATAAATGGAATCACAATATGTGGTTCTCTGTGTCTGGCTTCTTTCACTCATAATATTTTCAATGTCTATATTGTAGCATGTCCTTTTGGGTCGTATCCACTTTTTGACTACTACAAGTAATGCTGATGAAATCTGTATACGCATTTTTGTGTGGACATATATTTTCATTTCCTTTGGGTATATGCCTAGAAGTGGAATTGCTGGGTCATCTGGTAACTACGTGTTTAAGAAACTACCAAACTGGAGGACTTCAACAGCATAAAAAAGAACCAGTCAGAAATGAAGGCTACACTAACTGA